AGTTTCTTGTATTATTTGTATTCATCAGTACTGAAATTTAAATAATTTAGAAAAACAAAAACAATGCCAGTGATCAAAGAAAATAGCATTTTCACTTATTTATTATGTTATGATATTGTAACTATCATATTTATTTAGTTGGCCTTATTTGTTTTGTGTGGCCTTATAATATGTTTACATAATATAAATCATATTGTAACTGTGCAGTTTAGAAATGACTTGAACAATCATAGATACTGATGGAATGATTAGAACTTTCTATTTGACTTGCATAACGATTCCAGAATGATCATAATAAACGATGTGTAATTTAAACTTCTTACTTTGTTCTAGAAATTTCCGTTCTACAGTTTTCTAGGAGTTTCCTTTCTACACTGTTCTAGAGATTTCCGTGACAACTATATATATATACCGACACTAATCCTAAACTTTCAGACATAGACATCGATAGACATTATAATTCTCAGCAGTAGAATTGACACTTTTATTTACGAACAACATCATGCTAGATTGTGACCTATTGGACGTAATATCCTGGTTGGATTCCCGAGAAGATTTCCGGATTTCCGGATTTGACACTTTTGAGAAGAACTCACTGACCTGTACTTATTGTAAGAAGAATTGTCACCTTATGGCTGATTGCTTTAGACTCCAGAAGAAGAATGAAAGAGATAATAAGCACAAGACCAGTGCTTGTACGACACCCCTGGTTACCAATACGTTGGAATGTGCTGTAAGTCAGTCTTTTAAGTCCAGTGTTTGTGATTACATGGCGGATTATAAACCCTTTATGTCTGATGGGTTTGTTTCTATTGTTGATAATACCACTCCTCAGCCTATGCAGATTTTACGGGACACTGAAGCTTCTCAGACTTTATTGTTAGAAGGTGTGTTGCCTTTGTCCGAGGAGACTTCTGTTGGTGCCTCCGTTTTGTTACAAGGTGTGGAATTAGGTTGTATAGATGTTCCCCTCCATCGTATATATCTGAAGTCAGATTTGATAACTTGACCAGTTGTTGTGGGTGTTCGTCCTAATCTCCCTGTTGAGGGTGTTTCATAGGAACAAAGTGGTTGCTGAACCAATTGTTACCAGTGAACCGGTTGTGGATGTTAAATCACCGGAAGATGATGCTGAACTGTATGCAGCTTGTGTTGTTACTAGGGGGATGGCAATAAAACAACAAAATAGGATTTGCAATAAGACCAGTTTGATTACATGGACCTTTCTGACACTTTCTTTGCCGACATTGAAGGTCCCAGTAGCTTAGAGAAGGCCGTAGTAAGACCATCCATTACTAACAAGAATGTAATTATGCCATGGTCAGATGTGAACAGCCATTCATTAGACCGAAGTAAATTTATTAAAGAACAAAATAAAGACCAGGTTCTTCAGCTCCGCAAGAGGGCTCAACCACAGGAAGAAGTAGTCAAAGTGACCGAACGCTATTACCATCAAGACAGCATTTTAATGAGGAATTGGAGGCCCCTTGATGCTATCCAAGAGGAGGAATGGAGAGTGGTATACCAAGTGGTGGTGCCTAAAGTCTATAGGCAAATACTTATCGGTCTTGCACATGACACCCCATTGGCTGGACACTTAGGTATAAGGAAGACTTGCCTTAAGATCTTGCAGCATTTCTACTGGCCCAGACTTAGAAATGATGTCGCAGAATACTGAAAATCATGCCATATATGCCAGGTTGTTGGTAAGCCTAACCAGAAAATACCACCAGCACCACTTCTGCCAATTCCAGCCTTTGAAGAACCTGTCAGTCGAGTACTCGTTGATTGCGTTGGACCTTTACCGAAGACCAAGACTGGAAATGCGTATTTATTGACGATCATGTGTACATCCACTCGATTTCCTGATGCTTTTCCGTTAAGGAATATCAAGACACCAACTATTGTCAAAGCTCTTATCAAATTTTTCACGTTAGTAGGACTTCCGAAGTCTATACAGTCCGACCAGGGTTCAAATTTCATGTCAGGTTTATTTCAGCAGGTTGTTTACCAGTTAGGGATTGCTCAGTATAGGTCAAGTGCTAATCAATCAGAATCTCAAGGTGCCTTAGAACGTTTTTATCAAACATTGAAGAACATGATTATAACTTTTTGTCTTCAATTTGACAGAGACTGGGATGATGATGTTCACTTTCTACTTTTTGCGGTCCGAAAGGCTGTTCAAGAATATCTTGTTTTAGTCCCTTTGAGTTGGTATTTGGTTATACTGTAAGGGGACCTTTAAAATTGATTAAGGAAAAATGGCTTAATGAATACACTGACTTGAATCTTCTAGACTATACATCTAGATTTAAAGAAAAGTTGTATACTGCTTGTCAAATGGCTCAGAACAATTTAAAAACTGTTCAGAATAAGATGAAAATATGGTATGATAAAGATGCCAGGGACAGAATTTTTTAGCCTGGTGATAAAGTACATGTATTTTTCCAGTCCCTGGACATCCTTTACAGGCTAAATAGTGTGTTCCTTATACCATAGAGAGTAAAATTAATGATTTAAATTATATTGTAAAAAGACCAGGTCGGCGTAAACAAAATAGAGTGTGTCCCGTTGCCCCTTTAGCCATGGTTAAATTGGAGAAAAATCATGAGCATTTGATTTTGCCATTTGATTAGGGACTTTCCTTTTAAATTTTCGTCGGAGTTCAGTATTTTTGTGATTTTACTTTTTTCATTTAAGCGAAATGTTGTCCAACATGCTCATAATCAAACACTAAAGAAATAAAGTTTTATTACTGTTATTAATTCAACTCCGTTTACAATTTTCAGGACATCTTAGATTTTTTCAAATAAAAAAGACGTGTTATGAGTGCGTTTTGAGTTGTTCATAATGCCGATACTCTAAGAATCAAATATTTTACATATGTATAGGTTTGAATTATAGTTGAATCGTTTTCTTGTATACAAAACACAGCACAACCTGCAGAAATCTTTTACGTTCAGGTATTTCACATCCAATGTTCTATGGTAATATTCTATACAAAGCACAAAAATGTCGTCATTCACCTCAAAAGTTAATCATACATTTAAACAGACTTATTAAGATGGGATTTAGTTACGATACTGTTGTCAGGTCATTAAAGATGGCATAATTTGGAATTAATATTGATTGACTCATAGGGTCTTTGCATCGGAAATAAACACATTAATTATAATCTAAAACCACTTGTTGGCATGATACAGGTTATGCTGTTCCCATATATTTTATGATGGTATGATACTTAACCCCTAACGGGAGAGATTGTGCTTGAATTTCATATGATGAAGACATAATCTTTTAATCAGTTTTATTGAGGTCTGGAGCAGGCATGCTAGTGACTGCTGGTAGTCCTTTGTTAATTTATGTATCATTGTCAGTTTTTTCAGTTTCTTCTGCTATCTATTCTGGCATCAGACCCGGACTTCATTTTAACTGAGTTTTACTGTGCGTATTGCTGTGTGTTTGTTTATTCTACATTGACTAGAGGTATAGTGGGCGGGTTGAGATCTCACAGAACATGTTTAAACAATTCATTTACATATGTGTCTGCAGAAATTAAATTTTCATGATTGTTGAAGCCAAAACGTTATGTTACTACGGTACAGCTTATAAAAGACAGCTTTACGAACACAGGTCTAAATAATTTTGACAAAATGATTTACTGACTTTGTCCGGTCGCTTCATGCCAAATTATTTATAAGAAATGAACAACTGATTTTTATAGATTGTTTTCATGTTGTGATGTTATATTGTTTTTATTTTGTGTTGTTATACCACTGGCCTAATGACGAGGTAGGGCGCCCGCAGTCATGTTAAACCCCGCCACAGTCTACATTTGAATGTCCAAACTGACAAGACTGATGAAGGACTTTCCGTTTTGAATTTTACTCGTTGTTCGGTATTTTTGTTATCTAACTTTTCATTCATTGCTATTTTGTCTTGAGTTGAAATGAAGTGATATGCATATCAGGTCAACACTATACCTTAACCTGACTGGTGATGACAAAATCAATATACCTATAATTGTATAATTATAAGAGTGCAGAGGTTACCGGTTGTTGGGTAGTACAAACACAGGTACTGCTGATCTGGGCAACAAGGCAAATCTGTCCTTTTATTCTAATTTCAATTTTTTTTATTATTATTTAAAAAAATCTTTAAACAAGGGTTCTATAGTAATCTAAAGACATTAAGCTTTCATTTGATACCAACCGTGCCAAAATATATAGTTATTGACAAAGTTACAATTATGCAGAGGAAATAACCCCGCAACTTTATGAACGTGCTTGTCCCAAGTCAGAAGCCTGTAATTCAATGGTTGTCCTTTGTTACTGTATGTCATATTTGTTTTTCGTTTATTGTATTTAATCAGGCCGTTAGTTTTCTCTCGTTTGAATTGTTTGATATTTAACATTTCATGGTCTTTTATAGCTGACTATGCGGTGTGGGTTTTGTTCATTGTTGACGGCTGTACGGTGACTATAGTTGTAAACTTCTATGTCATTTTGTTCTCCGGCAGAGAGTTGTCTAATTGTCAATCATACCACATGTTATTTAAAATATCTTCTTCTTTCTTGGATGTTCTCTCTGACCGGACCGAATTAGTAGTGATATACCTTGATAGCTTGCTATAGGTATACGGTTTGCTCATTGTTGAAGAACGTATCATTTCCTATAGTTCTACGCCATTTGGTCACATTGGCAATCATACATTGTACCACATCTTCTTATTCTTTTTTTTAATATTTCTTTTATAATTGATCCCTATTACGTGTAAATATGTTTACATCCGACTATCTTTACCAATTGTACGCTATTCAAAATGTTTTAACATTAACATATAAATATAATCGTTTGTATGGAAAGAACAATGAATACTTTATTTTTGAAATATGAATGACTATTTGATATGTGGAATCGAATTGCGAATAAATCTAAATACATTTACACAATTTATCTTTTAAAATCGGTTTTCTTTTCTCACAGAATGTAGTATACACCTTTGAAAATTAAAGGTTATGCGTGAGTAGTCAATTCCAAAATACCTAGCAGAGTGTACTTAAATATCTAGTTAGTTGTAAACGTGAAAGTAAATTTGTCAATGGTTCAAAGAGATAACTGTGCAAAGTTGGGATGTCTTATGTGTACATATATGTGTTTGCCTTTTGTTCAGTGCCTTTTATAATAGATGGAGCTAATTTTCCCGGTAAGTTTGTTACGTTATTATAAAAAAAAATGTTAACTATTGCGAAGAATTTGTTAAATTATTCGGATATCATGATATACAAGTGAAGAATATGTGAAAGTACAACAGAAGTTTTAAATTTGAATATTATATTGTTTTTAATAGTTCGACTTGCCCAAATTATTTGTCAAGTTTTTTTTTACAAATTTTCTTGACAGTGGTTCTAGGTTTAATGCATGTTATAAGAACACGTTTAATTATTTCGTTGATGATCATATACTATTGATATACACTTTTAAAAGTAATGTATAATACAGTTAACGGCTAGAAGCGAAAAGAAATGACTGAATTCTAACTCGTCATAAAATAATTCAAAATGTCTTTTTAGATAGCAAACACAACTATAAATAACAGATTCAATAGTCTTATTGAAACTCGCCATGTTAAAAACATACTTCACAGTCCAAAAGAAGCCTGAATCGGTCATTTTGAAAGAATATTAAAGTCATGATTGTAATGTTGGTTGACGAATCCTTTTTCAATACGCAAAGTAGAGGATAATTGATATCAAGTTCAGTTAAAACTGGTTAAGTTGCGAAAATGTATGAAACAAAAAACCAAATAATCAGAAAAAAATATTAAATATTGAAAGTTTATGTCTTTAACACCAAACAGTCAATTGATAGTTTATGGATTGAGAAAGGCATGATTTATCATTAGGTTAATTCTTTTGTGTTGTTGCTTTAGTAATAGCGCGCATTCTATGTAAGTTAGTAAGTTTAGACACAGACATATCGTATAAATCAACCAAAAGAGTATATAAAAATACAAACAATAAAAAGATAAGCTCTTCAATAACAATATAACAAACTTGAATTTATTCTACCTGTTATATTGTTATTGAAGAGCTTATCTTTTTATTGTTTGTATTTTTATATACTCTTTTGGTTGATTTATACGATATGTCTGTGTCTAAACTTACTAACGACATGTTTACCACGTCTTAGATTGTGGTTTACCATCTACGTCGTCTAGTCTGCTAAGTACCGAACGTGACCTATTTCCGAATATGGCTGGGAGGTTTGGCTAGCCATACAACCAGGTTCAACCAACATTTTTTTTTAAATGTCCTGTACCAAATCAGGAATATGGCAGTTGTTATCAAATAGTCCGTTTCTCTGTTTGTTTTTGTAGTAGTTCAGTGTTTCAGTTATTCCGTTGTTTTTGTCTTATAGTTGATGTGTTTCCCTCGGTTTTGGTTTGTGACCCGGATTGGTTTTCCCTTAATCGATGCATGACTATTGAACAGCGGTATACTACTGTTGCCTTTATTTTTCAGTCCATCAATAATAACAAAAAGGGGAAATTAAAAGATTAGTTTAACTCTGACCGACATATTCATATGCTTATCCTCGTCAATGTATGTTTAATTTCATATTGTAATGGAGCTTTTACGGTTTTTATTTTGTGGATTTGGTTTTTGATTCATGATAAGTTAGGTCTGTGGATAGAATTTTTGATTTTGTATTGATAATTGTTTTTTTTTCTTCAGCCACTTTTGGTTTTATAATGTTGATTTTGTTTCGCAGCATGACAATAAGATAGTTGGTATATGATTTCAAACACTCATTGCGCTTTTTAAATTTACCCGTCTCAAACATCCATGTCCAGTGCACATTGTAAAAACAATATTGTCGACATCGCAATATTTACAATGTTAACACGATATCGTGGCAACATTGATTACATTATATGAACTCTTTTATACTGTTTACATCGTTGACATCGTTAACATCGCGATGTATACAATGTTGTAAAGATATCGTGTTTACATCGTTAACATCGTGATATCAACAACGTTAAAACGATATTGTGTCAACATCTTGTACATTGTAACAACTGTTATATACTGTTTACATCGTTTACATTGTATACATCGCGATGTATACAATGTAGTAACGATGTAGTGTTAACATCGTTCACATTGCGATATTAACAATGTTCACACGATATCGTGTCAACAACGTTTACCTTGTAACAACTCTTATATATTGTTTACATCGTTGACATCGTTTCCACCGCAATGTATACAATGTATTATCAATATCGTGTTAACATTGTATGTATTGTAGGGTTCACGATATCGTGTCAACATTATTTACTGTAAACCAACTTACTTTCGCGGATATTTTATTTCGCGTTTAGCCCTTTGTATCCTATTTTGCGGCGATTTTTTTTCGCGATTTTTAAATTATTTTGACGTAGTTATATAAAAGAAGATAAAAGTTTACCAACTTCGCGAAAGTCGCGAAAATAAATCGATCGCGAAAATTAGTTGGTTTATAGTAAATTGTTTCAACTGTTATATAATGTTTACATTGTTTACATTTTGATATAACAATGTATTATCGATATATTGTATACAACGTTTACATTTATGACTAATTGTAGGAGTTATTGCCTTTAGCGACTTTACTCGTTAAATTTCGATCATTGTTTATCAAATTTTGATACTGTAAAATAAAATCAATCACTTATTGCACTATTAATGCGATAAAGATGACTAAAGAGCATTACGATGTAAACGATGCGAACGATGTAAGAACAAAGGTATACAACATAAATACGATGTTGACGATGTGAACTATATAAGCACAATATTGTCAACATCACGATGTAAACGATATAAACGATGTACGATGTGAGCGATGTAAACACAAAGGTATAGACTTGGTATACAACATAAACACGATGTTGAGGATGTGAACAATGTAAACACAATAGTGTCAACATCGCAATGTCTACAATGTGAACGATGTAAACACAAATGTATAGACTTTGTATACAATATAAACACGATGTTGACAAGATATTGTCAACATTACGATGTAAACAATGTGCACGATCTAAACACAAAGGTATATATTTGTTACACAGAATTAATACGATGTTGACGATGTGAACGATGTAAATACAATATTGTCATTATCACGATGTATACAATGTGAACAATGTAAACACACAGATATATAGACTCGATATACAATATAAACACGATGTTAATATGATATTGTCAACATTGCGATGTAAACGATGTAAACGATGTGAACACAAAGGTAAACTGAGCTTACAATAGGAACACAATGTTGACTCGCTATTGTCAACATCGCGATGTCTACGATGTCAACAATGCAAAACTAAAATACTTTTTCTTAAAGTCAAACTCTAAAATAAGGGATAGGCGTCGACAAAATTTTGAACATGCAGTTAACGTTGTTGCGGATGAAACGTATAAATAATCATTCGTGTATATTCTTTATTTCATATTAAATTTGAAAAAAAATGGGAAATAGAAAAAAAGTTTCCAGGATCCGTTCCAGTGTCTTTTTTTTTTTTTTTTTTTTTTATTTGTGAAATTTGAAAACAAGTTATGAAATTTTTTATTGTTTGTTTTTTGTTTTTGTTTTTTTTTGTAATGATGAATCAAATGATAAGACACTTGTTGTTGCGCTAGGATAGCTATGACAATTGTTATATCGGCACGGTTTACGAGAACATTTATTGAACTTGAACGGACTGAAAACAGATTGGTAGTTACGCGCCGATATTGTCGGCAAGTCTTTCATCTGTGTGCACGTGTCATAATTTCTCGACCAAGCGTGACGAGCGTGTGATAGTAAAGGAGGTCGTGGGTTCGAACCCCGGCTGGATCAAAACAGAAACTTTAAAAGTGGTATTTGCTGCGTCTCTGCTGCGCAAGCATCATTAAAGAGTAAGAGCAAAGACTGGTCTGCTCGGATTCAGAATAACGTGTCCGTCAATCTATTTATTTTCTATAATTAAACAATTTAGAATAACTCACATAAACAATATATTGGAGAAGTCTGCATAGTTTTTGCAGTATAAATGTTCATATATTTATTTAACCGATGCTATTGAGAATGTGGAGTGTACTGGTTGACCTCGTTCTGTTTGCCCGTCCGTCCGTTTGTCCCATGAAATTATATCGCACTTTTGTTCATAACTACAAATCAGACCTTCCTGAAAAGTCTTACCAATCGTCATAAGAACATGCTATACCGACTTTACCGTGTGATTCGGTTTTCGATTCATCGAACTTCAACCCACTGTTTACCAAATACTAAGGGAAATGTAAGAAACATTTGAAACATTTTCTTTGGAACTACAAATAAGAGCTTCCTGACATTTTTGTCAGTTCTAATGGGTACATGCTTTACAGTGTGAAATGTTTTTAGTTTTATGACCTTGCATTGTTTACTTGATTCTTAATGCGGTATATCATTAGTGGGCAAAAGCTCAAAGTTTTACTTCGTTTGTTTTTAATTTCTTACAGCACTATACAGCAGTAGCTTGATTACAATGACAGCAACACCTCTGATTCAAACATTTGTCTCGCATCCGGGCTATGATGGGCATATCCGATATCCTGACGGGTATGCAATATACATTTATGTTTAGTATCTAAGTTTAGTACTTTGAATTTTTTTAAAAGTGAAAATATGAAAACTGATTTCTTGTATACATTTGCATAAAACTGAAGAGAATAAGTTAATGAACATGCAGTATGAATGATCCAGTTTCTTATCAAATGATGTTTTACGTTATGGTTTATATGTCGACTGCAATAATCTTCTACACTAATTCTAACAACAAATATATTAAATGCGATGTCAGCATAACGCTGAACTTTTTAAACAGTAACAATATATGTGGTTCTATTTTATAATTGTAATTTGTGCACTTTTGAAAGTAAAATATTGTTGAAACTAACATATGTGTTGAATTTTGTTTGGTTGATTCATTACCGTTTACCAATTGGTACTTATTTTGTACTTTTACCGAATGCCTTGTATTTAATATTATTTTTTTGACCTATTAAAAACCCTTCACAAAGACAGAAAGAAAAGGCACCTTGCCTTTTTTTTTTAATATCACTTTCAGATATATTGATGGTGTCATGTCAATCAATAACCCTCATTTCAATGAGTGCTTACATCTCTCATATCCAAGAGAAGTTGACAATAGGTGTATTGTAGAAACTAAAAGGTCTACATCATATCTAGATCTTATTATATTATTAATACGGTATTAACATTATCGCAATATATTACGTGCGTGCATGTCCATTGAATTCCTACTTTACAGGGTTTATTAAAGGTAACAAAAGCAAAAACTGCTCCAACAAGTTTATGAGGTAGAATGCTCAAAAACGCAAAGAGTTGTTCCAACGGATTTATTGTTCCCATTCTAGCCGTTCATTTCTATGAATTTTTACCCAATTGTAGTATCGACTCCTTATAGCATTGGATTTAACGTCTCCATGATTCCAGCTGTTCTTAACTGTGTAACTATACTCAATTATATAGACGCCTTCCTCTAGCAACGGATGTATTGTTCGCAATCTTGTAGCTCTTTTCTGTGTATTTATACTCGTTTGTAGGAGCGCCTTCCTCTAGCAACGGATGTATCTTTCCCATTTTGGCCGTGCTTTGCTGCGTATTTATACACAACCATAGGGGTGCATCCCTATTGCAACGAATTTTCGGTCAGAAAGGAGAATTCAAGGGGACCTGACTTCTATACCCTTGTCAAACCTTTGAATACATCACTTTCCATTGAAGTACTGGATTTTTTTCAGAAAGTGTTTGTTTATTTTATAAAATGTTTTTTAAAACTATGTCGCATTGGACAGAAGAGTCCCTCTTTATTCTCAATAGCTTCACCAAAAGAAAAAAAAAAACGTTTATCAATTTACATGTAATTAAAATAATTTTGTTTGTAGGAACTATACACAGGACTGGTACATAAGAACAAACTGGATTAACCATACCATAAAAATAAACTTTGCTACTTGTTTCATAGAAAATTCAAAAGGAGTATGTTTGTTTGATTATCTTTTCGTGTTTGATGGTAAGTAATCTTTATTAATCAAATAATTTATTATACCGAATAAAAAAGACAAATATCCGGATCTATGACACATACCCGCAGTTGAAAATGAGGATGTTCGACGGGAAAATATATCTCTTGATTGATCTTCGGAAATGTATGGGTAAAAACTCATGAAAAATTGTATGACAAATGTTTTATAAATAACCAAAAAAGTTTTATCCAGAGGCTTTTGCAAAACTTGCGCTTTAAAAAGTCATACGTTGATTGCTGGTTATAAATTTGATGGCATAGTATTAGAAAATCCAGATGAACAAGAAAACTGAGTAATATAGTGGATATTTAGAGTTTTCCGACCAGTTTATATATTATAACATGCATACCAGAACGAGAACGTATTAATGTGGTGTGAATATGAACACTATCCTGAATTTTTAACGTGATACGATAGTCCCCATTGTAACTATCTGCAGAAAAACATTTTACCGGGACAGTTATTTAGACTTCGAGGCGACAATTTTTTGCTCATTCGCCTTAATACTATGTTCTGAGAGGAGAACCAGTCTAAACCTAGGTTTGAATCTTTGGTTTGACAAGACGGTTAAAAAATCTAAAGAAAAAAATCACAGCGTTAAAAATGATTATGTTTCTGTACCCTGTTCATTAGTTTTATTTATATTCAGATAATCTCACTGGACAAAGAATGGTGTATAATAAAAGCCATTATTTTGCCCCTGAAAAAGTGGAGTTATGTAAGACTTTTAAATTGATGTAAATATTTAATTAATAAATTACATTGATCCTGGTTTTTCGAAAGCATCTAACATGTACAATGATATAGGACACGTCTTAAGATATTATGAGGACATATCTTAGTCCTATATGATGTTTTGAAAGTGTCTTCAGTTACGATAAATCATAAAACTAATCGGGGAAAAAGGACATCAAAATACATGTCTCAAAATAGTCTCAAGATGGTCAAAAAAGTTGTTCCTTTAAACATGTTAAAGTTATAGTGATATCACATTCACTTCGCTAATAGCAGCCCAGGTTTTGATGTAACTATACAAGATCATACATGCTTAGAATTGAGAATAAGAATTTGAATATTGTCAAAGAAAGTTTATGAAATTATACATTGCATGTTCAATGTATTCCTTTCAAATTATCGTGATAGGAGTACATGTCTTCTATGAATTCATATATTAGTTCAAGTCTAAAGTTGGGTATATGCACATGCATGAATGAAATAAAGAGTTGTTAGTATTAATCATGAAATTAGGAGCAAATATAATAATTGATAATGATGCATGTATATATGCATATGTACGATGTGCAAAAATTATACCCTTACTTTCATAATCCTTAGAGCCTCAAAATATGAATAAAGGGTATAAATATCTAGCTCAAATAACTAATTACAAACATGACTGTTCTTAGTATGCTTGTCTTAAGCCAGGGATTTCAGTAATTCAGTAGTTGTCGTTGGTTGCTGTCTGTCATATTGATTATTGTCTATTGTTTTAGCATTAATCAGACCGTTGTTTCATCTTTTTTGTGTTCCACATTTTGTCATGCCAGTGTTCGTATGTCTTTATATTACTATACGTTAAGTGTTTTTATTAGGTTGGCCGTGGGGAAAATTTGTAACAGGGATTGTGTTCCTATTGTCGGAGCCACAATCTTGTCCTCGTTCCCTCGTTTTTCACATTACAAAATGGGACTTTTCTAATCACTGATGGTTGCCACTTTAGTAATGCAAGAACTGTCTTTCCCTTCGGAACACTCGAATTCACGAACAGTTTTTGCCATATCATTCCTTTCATTCTTTAGTTCGAAAATGTTTGCACTTTCTCACAGCACGGTCCAAATAATAAATGCATGATGTTTCCATTGAATTACGGTAATACTAGTAGTTCACTTAAAGTAAAATAATAGTCAGTTTATACATGTACCAGAATTTACGGATTGTCTTAAAATATTCGAAAAATAACAATATGTACCTGTAATCACTGAATTCGAGTATTTGTATTTCAATAGATATAAAAAGATGTGGTATGAGTGCCAATGAGACAACTCTCCATCCAAGTCAAAATTTATAAAAGTAAACCTTTATAGGTCACAGTACGGTCTTCAACACGGAGCATTGGCTCACACCGAACAGTAAGCTATAAAGGGCCCCCAAAATTACAAGTGTAAAACCATTCAAACGGGAAAACCAACGGTCTAATCTATATAAAAAACGAGAAACGAGAAACACTTATGAACCACATTAACAAATGACAACTACTGAACATCAGATTCCTGACTTAGGACAGGTGCAAACAAATGCAGCGGGTTTAAACGGTTTAATGGTACCAAACCTTCACCCTTTTTCTGAAACAATAGTGTAACATCACAACATAGAAAGACACACTATAAAATATCAACTGAAATAGCTTAACTCAATCAAAGGACATATTAACACCATTGAACATACACTGAACAAATAAATTTGACCTATGATACAATGTAAATACAAAATAAATAAACTAAGGGAAGAATAATAAAAGTAACATGTTATATCGGTATGAAATATTTAACAATTAAAGAAAAACAATCTGCTCGAACAAAAATATCAGCCGTTAGCAATAACTTTAAACACAGGTAAATGAAAATAATTTTATTGTTAGGTATACGTAAACAGTTCCAATAGAGAAAGGAAATATTTTTACAAAATAAATAATTTTGATGTTCATAGTACGAAGTGAAAATTTAAAGTAATACCAAACACTTATAAAAGCTAGTATATAGACCAGATATAACCCTGAATAACATTAAATAACAAAAAAGCAATACAATTAGTATCAACAGGTCAAATAAACAAGAAAGTACGATTTGAGAGTACTCGCAGTTACTGACAGCTAGTTAAAAGCCAAAACAATTAATAATAAAAAATCATGCATCAGAGACAAGGCTGTTAGATAGGTAAATACAATTGTAAACTATACAAAGCACGGAAAGTTTTATTGTCTTTTTTTAGGGGCAAATTCCAGTAGTCCTGAAATGATGAAAACCTGTTGTGGAAAAACACACAGCGCAACTTTAGAAAGTTCCGCTGGAGAGATGTATATCTTGTTTGAGACTGACAACACTGTGGGGGATACTGGTTTTGAGATAGAATACTGGTCTAATGGCATCACAACGACAACTTCGACAACTACAGTGGCTCCTTTTACAGGTAAGTAAGTTAATAACCAAATACAAGTAACCTTACGGCTTGTTATTACATGCAGTCATATACTTGTCGACAAACGGCTAAGAAATAATAGGTCTGATGGTAAACGTAAAAATCGTAATCTATGTATTAAACATCGTATAAATTATACACTTGCTGATCTGTTATCTATAATACAAAAGAATGGTACACATCAATTATTATGCAAACTTGGTCATATACCAATAAGTAAACTATATGATATTTTTCTGGAGTGTGATAAAATTTCATTTTGTAGCCCGTTGTATGAATACATCCATATTATTACAGCCTTTTGTCATCACAGGCTGTTTCCTAGTATCGATAAACCTGAAAATCATAAACGGAATTATCTTAAATTAAAATATATAAATAGAGGTATTGATTGTATTAACTCATCTAGTTTATTCAATGACTCTACCATCCATAGCCAAATATCTCAATGATTTGATAATACAGAAACACCTATTTTTTTGTATTCTTATAAAAAAAAACAGCAGAAGTTTGATTTTTAATTATACGTCAGTTACATAAGACGTCAATATAGAAAATAATGCTCCTTCCAATTGAGACTGTGAAACATCTAGTTTTAGATATGTTCCCTATGGTCATGTCATTACAGGAAACCTCAACATCGTTGAAGACCGTGAGGTCGAAACTTTTCTTAGAAAGGACCTAAATATCGTCCTCCATCTATTATAGATTGAAAACAGTGTCGCCAGGTCATTGAAGACGCTCTGTCTGCCTACTGTAAAAATTGGTGTAAACGTGAAAAATCTGAAAAAAAAATCTCTGGACAGTTATTTGAATAAAACTATGAATACTGTTGATATTCGTATATCTCATTTTGAAAACAATTCTTGATATACCCATTTCTAGAATAAAAAATAAACTTCAAGTACCCGCAAAGCGGTTTGTGTTCGTACCGGCAAACAAAGCAGCAAATAATGTAGTGGTGGTGTGACGCATATACTACACGGAAGTTCTCCAAAACGAAATTATCAATTCTTCTACATTAAGGTACGTACGCTCCACAGAGAGTCAAAATGTAAACAAGCATATCACTGCCACTACCCAGCTTAAAGCCTCTTCCGAACATTTGAAGGTCCCGACTATGTACTAGTAACCTAAATTAAACAAACAACCATTTAAATTTCGTTTCATCTCCGTATCTAGTAAGTGTTCTACTACTAATCTGTCAATGCTTCTAACTACCTCCCTTACTACTACCAAAGAACTTGTTATTAACTTTTGAAATAAAGCTTATGCAAATAATGGTATTAATTATTTTTGTAGTATTAAAAATTCTTTAGAGGTTTTAGATAAAATACGTGTTTTTGATGGTCCTTCAAATTCTGTTGACAGTTATGATTTTTCTACTCTCTACACTACACTTCCACACAATCTTATCAAAAAAAGTTTCATATTTAATTAAATGGTCTTTTGAAAAATCTCATTGCAAATTTATTTTCTGAAACTTGTTTAAAGTCCTTTTCTGTAACGAAAAAGGTAAGTATGCTAGATATACTTACTGGAAATGTGAGGATATGATTGAAGCTTTAAATTTTCTCCTGGACAACTTATATGTACGTTTCGGTGATTAAGTGTATCGACAGATATAGTACGGTGACCAGACTCAATTTCAAAATTTTATCGTCAAACATACTATATGTCTATATTATATATCATTTGATTCGTCAAAATAAGTACTTTCGAAATATCAATTTCGTCAAAAAGGAATGTGGTAACAGTTTTGCATAAAATAAGGTCAAAGATCAAATACTATGTTAATCTTGTTCTTCTATATTTTCTAAATTTAAAGATAAATGTACATGTAGCAATTTATGTTAAATTTCAGATACAGACATCTTTTAAAATCAATTAACAATGAATTATCTATGAAACGTACAAAATACCTTTCAAAACGTCGATTTTTATGAATATTGACGTTTTTCAAACACTTGTTCTATTATCCAAGATCAACACATATTTCGTTAATGTTACAGTAGTCACCTTGCCTGGTGACATTTAAACTCTGGATTAAATGACGAATAATGTTTTTACTTGAAGCCTACTACCTTGAACGCGTATTTGGCAAAAGCTCAAGCCTGTAATTCATTAAAAGCAAAACCACTAAATACCTCCGGCGGCTCGCAAACAATTACAATTAATCCAATACCATCGAAGAGGTCCAAATAACAGAATTCAGCAAGGAGTTTACTATTTGAATTGTTTTATACTAGTCATTTTGGTGCCTTTTTTAGCTTGCTGTTCGGTTTGAGCCAAGGCTCCGTGCTGAAGGCCGTTTTTTTACCTATATATATTTAATTTTTACACATTGTGACTTGGATGGAGAGTTGTCTCATTGGCGCTCACACCACATTTTCTTATTTCTAATTATTCTGTTTCATCTGTCAATGAATATGATTGGGAATTTCTGCATAATTCTGAACCCTGACAGGTGCACAGCTCCGTACATGTAAGGTTTTATTGTGAACAAACACATGACTTTTTACATGGAGATTTCCTCTTACATGAACACAAAAGATCTGCAAGAATTCTGCAAGAATTGCTTTTCACGGGGTGAAATGTATTATCATCTTCTCGCCATTCGTACTCTAACGGTGATGGAATAGGGGGATTATCAATGTGTGATGCAAATTTTAGTTTGAAAAGAAACACTTAAAACATGCTGTTTCAGTGCCGTTCACAGGGAAGCAACCCGACTCGACTTACATCGTCACTGGTGGCGAACTTGACGCGCATTTTATTCATATCATGGTGAAATACTGTTTTTGTCTGATCATAAAGCTTTGTAACTAACTTCCTTACACATACACGGGCTTCATCTTTGTTGGGACTCCCGAAGCTCTGCAAACCACTGAAATCATTGGGCGTATCCTGTAGACTGATTTCTTACCTACTCCAAACAGAGACTAAGTCGTGTCGCATCCTGTAGGACCTTGAACAAAAGGCAGCTGTTTACAAATAGTAGGAAAAAGGCAGCCACATAGTTGGTAAATATATATATAGGCAAACAGATTATTTGCCTGTCCTTTACACATGTTACACTGTTAAGGTTCCCGATCTGTACCCACAACTCGTTTGTGCGTGTCATCTATTTGTAAAGTAGTGTTCACACAGAACAATCACATCCGTATCAGAGTCATTAACGGCAGTCATTAACAGTAGTGTCTGAAAAGACTTTGACAATTTCTGGATTTCCAAACGTTCTGGCTAAGTAAAGCTGACAATCAGTAGGAATCATAAGGGGGTTGTGAAATTTGAAAAAAACTACCAAAGAAATTACGGCGAGCCTGTTTGTTTTCTTTATCAGACAGGAATTTCTTCCGGTCAAGAATAATTCTGCCTTCTATAACCTGTCTTTGTGCGGCGTTCCCTTTCAGCAGGCTTTATAGAGGTTTTTGTATGTCGTAGCGGTCAAAAACGTCTGCTGCTGTGTGCGCTAGAGTAAAGCATATTTTTATAATAGTCAGCTGCAAGGTCACCGAATGTTTTATTTTTCTTAGCATCAATACATTGAACCAATGGAAGGTATAAACTTTAGATTTGAATTGCTTCACCAAATCAGACTTGCATGATTTTCTCATGGTGCCCTCATCGTGAAAAGGAGAAACTTGAAGGTGACCGACAGGTCGAGACAGCACATTTTCTATTGCAACACCATCCCTGCAGTTTGCCAAAACGAATGCACGTCTGAATACAAGTTCCGGATTTTTGTAACCTGAGATTATTTCCCCCGATTTACATTTTAATAAGGTTTGTTTTTGAGGTCATATTTTCAAACGTTTTTACCTTTGACTTTGATATTGGACTTTGACTTTGATTGACCTTCATAAACAGTACTAGTTATGAAATGTTTAGACATGTTAAAGCCTACCTCGACCACTATGCCAATGCATTCCGGATGAGATATTGATAAGACCTGGAGAATGGGATTCCACATCAAAAGGATCAGCCCTGATTTGATTCAGATGGTTCACAATGGCAATAAAATGTTCTTCGCCTCTTGTCATTTCTGTTGGTCTTGTTTCCGCATGTTAATTTGCATTATTTGCAGCAATACTTGCTCTTAGCATAGCACCACTAAGGGATGATAGGAAATGTCTGGTAAGTGTCAATTTAACTAGACTTTTGATTTGTTTATACCTACACTACCACCTGATCCGATTGAATCTTTTAAATGCTTTTTTCTAGCTGTTGCCATGTAAGTCCACATACCGTTAAAATGTCTCGGAGTCTGTATAAAAGCATAGTCGCCACCTGTAAATTCTGATCGAATCTTCTCTGGAAACTGAAGCATATCGAGTATGGAAACTGGCATCTACCTAGAGTAATTGGTACGGTTGGTTACAAAAAAATAATGTCACATTTGAGATGACGATCTAAAATGAAGCTACCAATTACTCTCTCGTTCTGCTCTAACATTTGACAGCAAAATTTGTACAGCTTCAGGAAACAGAATTTATACCAGTATTTGAATGTCGGTTATGTAGCACATTCCCCTTGCTTATATGTTTCTATAAGAGGAAGTATGTACACTTTAATTAACTCCATCAGAGTAGGCGTTAGGCCTTGTATCTGGCTTGAATAGTTGGCAATACCACTGTGTAACTCTAACAAAGCATTCCAAGAAGTAGAAATCATGTTTCTGCGATAAATTAATTTGTTGTTTAATTATGGTCAAAATATGATATTAATGTCGATTATTTTACATTTATTGTAAAAAACAATTATGAAATTGATTTGACATGTACTCTATTAAATGCAAAATATTAGTAGTGTCAAACTTTTACAAAAACTCTTCAAAAACGGATAAATGTGGTCAAACTTTATTAGAAATCGTTAAAATAAGGTGGATCAACAATGTATATAATAACAAAAAGCATATAACGAATGTTATTTTAGAATGCTAACCTAAAACCTTGTCAATGTCAATTTTTCTTTAAAGTAAGCTAACGTACTTTAAAGCCCATTTTACAAAAATTGCACCATACGATTTTTTTACGACAAGTCAAAATGTAAAGTTTAGTCTTTAAACTACTACTATTTTGATTTATAGCCATATAGTCCGAATGACAATTAAACTATGCGACTTTTCCTCACTCGGTCACCGTACTAGTAGTAGGTATTCCTATGGGCACTAATTGCGCCCCTTTAATATCAGATTTATTCCTGTATTGCTATGAATCTCAGTTTATGACCAAACTCAGTAAAGACACGTCACTGTTACATTTGGTTGACGCATTCGACAATACCTACCGTTATCTTGATGATATCTTTTCGTTAAATAATCCAGAGATCTCTATCTATACTTCCCAAATTTACCCAAAAGGAACTTACTTTAAATAAATCTAACATAAACAACAGTAGTTGTCCTTTTCTAGATTTAGACATTTCAATTTCTAAAGGGAAAGTCCATACTAAAATTTACGAAAAAAGAGACGATGTTTCATTCCCTATTGTTAATTTTCCTTTTTAAGACGGCGATGTTCCTTTGGCTCCATTATACGATGTATATATATCCCATCTCGTTCGTTATGCCATTGTGTGTAGTGATGTTATAGATTTTAACGAACATAATCAATTCATCACTGGTAAATTATTAAGTCAGGGATTTCGTTATAATAAATTACTTAAAACGTTTACTAAATTCTTTCATAGATACAAAGATTTGATTAGTAAATTTAGCTGTACCTCTAGAAAACTTAGTAAAAACAGTATTTCACATCCTAAATTTTACAGTAATATTATACTAAAAGCGCGGAAATCACTATGTGATCCGTGTAAACTCATCGAACCATTAAACAAACTTATTAGTAAGGGTTATCTTATTAATGTTGTTATAAGATCTTTGAATATTGTTGACATTGGCACAAATATCGATTTTGTCATCAACAAATTAAAACATAACTAAATTTGTATTCTTTTCGAATGGTTTTTTAGAATGTATAAATACACATCCATGTTTATTTTCTATATAGAGATTGCTTTATCTATATATAACATTATATATATTTATTTTAATGTTAAATCCTAACTATCCTTCTGCCTGTCGATAATTTTATTTTGGCATTGCACAAGTCATGTCTTCTTTGACTGTCCATGGCGTTAAAACACTAAATCATTGGGACGTGTTTTGATTTATTTTAGTCTCTGATGCATGATTGTTTTTATTATAATTGTTTTTTTTGGCTTTTAACTAGAATCCAGTAACTGCGAGTACTCTCAAATAGTACTTTCGTGTTATTGAACCTGTTGACACACTTTGTAATGCATTTTTGTTATTCAATGCTTGCTTGTTTTTGTGTTATATCTCGTCTCACCATTTTTTATATGTACCACCTTTCATAAGTGTTTAGTATTACGATAAATTTTCACTTCCTTTCTCGTACTATGAACAACAAAATTATTTTGTAAAAATTATTTCCGTACTCCTAACAACAAAATTATTTTGTTTATAGTTACCCGTGTACTATATTTTATTTAACGCCATTTTGTCCCAGGTTATTGTTATTATTTTGACATTGCTTTACATATTGTATTTATATTGTGTCATAGATCAAATTTATTCGTTCAGTGTATGTTTACTTGTTTTGTTAAAATTTCTTTTTGATCGAGTTAAGCCATTTCAATTGATATTTTATGGTGTTTCTTTCTGTGTTGTAGTGTTATACTGCTGTTTCAGGTTAGGATTAAGGTTGGCGCTTTTTAAAACGTTTAAACCCGCTGCATTTGTATGCACCTGTCTTAAGTCAGGAACCTGTTGTTCACTGATTGCCGTTTGTTGATGTGGTTCATAATTGTTTCTCGTTTCTCGTTTTTTATATAGATTAGACCGTTGGTTTTCCTGTTTGAATGGTTTAACACAAGTCATTTTTGGGGCCCTTTATAGCTTGATGTTCGGTTCGAGCCAAGGCTCCGTGTTGAAGGCCGTACTTTGACCTTTAATTGTTAACTTTTACTAATTGTGACTTGGATGGAGAGTTGTCTCATTGGCACTCATACCACATCTTCTTATATCTGTCTGCATACACATACTTTGGATTACATGTAAGTGTACAGTAGTTAAGTAACAAAAAGTGTGATAAAGCAAATTTGCGAAAACGTTTTCGAGATACATTAAAAGCAGTTTGCGTTCTCGTTATATGTTGGTTATACATTTATACAGTTTAATAATGATGATATTAATATTGTAAATGAAATAATTGAAATATGACGAAATTGTGTTCCCGGCCAAATGCCTGTTTGTATCGGCACGACTCGTGCTTCAGAAAATATGTAACTTTCATAAACTGTATCACTAACTTTTTGTACTTGTACATGTATAGGATTTATAACACGACCTATGACAGTTTACTTATTCTTATTTAATTAAATCAGGACTGCCAATCATTTTCCGGATTAATTCGGATGTGTTCCAATGTGGGTCTGTGTATATTTTGAGATGTCAAAAATAAAAAACAAAATACGAGTGTTTTCGTTTTTTGTTTTTGATTTCTCAAATCGAAAAACGAATAGACGCAAATGTACACGGACCAATGTGGTCTAAAATTAGTCTATTCGAAAATCTCAACAAGAATAAAAACACCCCAAAGTTATTTAACCTAAACAACTGTACAAAGTCAATAATCTAGACACAAACATTGATATAAATATATATTCTTATATACCAAAATTTAGAAAATGAACATTTAATTCATTGTGAAAAACACAGCAAATCATTAGTTAGGGGAAAATATGTAAAGGGCGTGCAACTTTACTTATTGAGGTGAAAATTGAATAATAAAACTCCTTTATAAGGAGTATTATAAAAACAAACTTGTAAAAGTTGATTTGTATGTTCTGTCAAACTTTGATATATTAGAACTTCTTAAGTATTGGTTGTTCCACTATTTCTTGTCCAAATCGACTACGGATGATGTATGAAAGAAATTTGATATACTTTAACAGACTGTAAGATTGTAAAAAAAGTCGCATGCAAATTAAATTCTTTCATTTCACTCCATATGTATTTTTATATGATATTTATTTTTTATATTAAAGGAAAGCTGATACATTACTCTTTTATTCTAAAGTAAATATTTGCTGATAACTTCATTCAGAAATTAATTAGAAGCTGTCCCGTGTTTGATAATGAAAAGAAGATTAATCGCTTTATCGCAATTTACAAAAAATCTATAACGTGGGAAAAACTCTACGACAGGGCTGAAATGATAGTATTATGTTTACTCTATCATTATTTGGATTTTCAGACCTACATTTTTTTTTTATTTGTCACTCCACTATAGTAATTCTGGAACATATCCATGATCATTCGTGACACTGATACTCATCAATGATCAACTAAACCTTATCACAAACTTACTGATATATCTGTTCTTACTTATACGTTTGTTTTCATTCCATTTAATATAATGGTTTTCATCTATTCACTAATATCATATTTTACAGATGTTTATAATAAATAACAGCATGGCATGTGTAACACGTTTAACATATGTAATGATAGGCATACAATCTTGTATAATATAAATCTATTTGCAATAACTATTATAAAATTATAGTAATTGTTTTCTCACTGTAACAGTTGACGTCAGTGACCAAGAAACAGGTCTGACTAAAGGGTAAGAATACTTGATATGATATTAAAGGTTACAATTTATTGTTCAAATGGTCATAATTAGTAAGTTTAAGTTATGAAAATTATTTTTTTATATATGGTTATGTTCTTCTAATATATTTTATGACGGTATGATACTCAACCCCTAACGGGAGGTATAGTGCTTGATTTTCATATGATGAAGACATAATCTTTCAATCAGTTTAATTGATGTCTGGAGCTGGCATGTCAGTAACTGCTAGTACTCCTGTGTTAATTTACGTATCATTGTCATTTTGCTTTGTTTCTTATGTTACCTATTCTGACATCGGACTCGGACTTCTTTTAAACTGCTTTTACTGTGCGTATTGCTGTGTGTTTGTTTATTCTATATTGGCTAGAGGTATAGGGGAGGGTTGATATATCACTAAACATGTTTAACCCCTCTGCACTTTAGCGCCTGTCCTAAGTCAGGAGCCTCTGCCCTTTGTAAGTTTTGTATGTTTTTTTTTAAGTTTAGTTCATTTATATCTTTCGGAGTCTAGTGTGACGTCCATTTTCACTGAACTAGTACACATCTGTGTTTAGGGGCCAGCTGAAGCCAACCTCCGGGTGCTGGATTTTCTCGCTGTGTTGAAGACCGATTGGTGGCCTTGGGCTGTATTCTGCTCTTTGGTCGGGTTGTTGTCTCTTTGACACATTCCCCATTTCCATTCTCAATTTTATTTACCACTATAAGCATAAAGTACCATTGAGATTAAAATGAACCTTTCAAGAATTGAAGATGCTATGCGATATAAATCAAGTACGATTTTACACTCTATTTGAACGTATAAACGTGACACCTTGACTCTCTCCGTGGTAGTACGATTCACACGAACGGCTATTAGTTCGGCTTTGCGAAATGTATGAATATGCACTAACGATCGATTGTAGACAGTCAATTAAAATCACGTGTAATATGTAAAGAATAAACATCTTTTCTTTTTATAAGGCTACATACTGTGGATTCATTTATTTTCGTTGGTACTAATTTTCGTTGATTGAGGAAAACTTGCACTTTCGTGGATATTTAATTTCGTGGTTTTGACAAAGTCTGCATATATTCCTTTAGGAAATTTGTAATTCGTTGAACATTTAAATTCGTGGTTCCCCTGTACCCACGAAATCCACGAAAATTGGTATCAAACGAATATTAATGAATCCACAGTATTTGATTCATTACATCACAATGCCCCTTTAACTGCGTCCAATTCTGTGACTACAAATTAGTATATTTGATCTGCAGATCCTATTGTTTAACATATTGTGAAATTGATCTAGACTCAAACTTGCCAGTAATATTTGCTTTCTATGATTGTGAAATTAATACATATACTCATTACATTTTAACAAAGCTACGTTCCAATAAGGACAAGATCAATAATCTATTTTTAGAAAAGTGGCTGAAATGTGTTTTAGTATTTAGGTTTTATTAACAACATTTGACTTTATTGTATGTTATACTGAATTGTGAGGCAACACTAAACAAGTCACAAAACTCTAAATTGGTCAGGAATATGCTCAAAATCATGTGCCGTACGTCATTTGGTCTGCGTATGGAAGTTGTGTCATTGGCAATCTTACCACATATTCTAATTTGTATATTTATAACAGAAGTTGTGTGTACAGAGTGACTCATGTTAACAAGCCTATAGTTTCTATTTGTAGAGAAATTGCTGGAATTGTTGTTGGATGCATTGCCAGTGTTGCGTTAATTGCAGTTATCTGCTGTATTGTTATTTTGAAATTCATTTTCAGCAAATGTAGGTATACGATAATGCTGCTAAAATGCTTTAATAAACATAAAGACGGTATTTATTTTATTTTAATTTTAAAATTGAATTAAATGCACTAAACGCTCTGCAGAAAAAAATATTACGACTTTATGTATACTTTAGCAAAGCATCCACGTTTTCAGGTTAAAGATTGATCAACGATTACATAAATAATTGAGAGAATTAAAGAAAAAAAAAATCGATAAAAATGCACACAAAAAAAAATCCTAACATTTTATGCAGCACAGAATAACAAAACTCGATTCGTTATTCTCCCTCTGACAGAACACATTCATTTACAATCACACACATGCATACATTGTCACGTTGATTAATAAGTTCATTACAAAGACATTACAGGTACACAATGTGTCATATTGTCACTGTAACCTGCCTTCTTTTGTGCTATAAGAAAAGCATTTCAAATAATGCAACATATCATTTATACAAAGAAATATCTATAAATTGTTAAAATTAGTGCTTAAATTGAATCCAAAAGTAAAAAATATGAATATATATATAAATATAACTCTTTTTTTCTTTATTTCAGAATCAACGAAACCAAATTAAAATGAACATCAATTAAATTTAAGATCGACTAAGGAAAGACAATCACAACATCATGTCATTTTTTATTTTTTTTTATTCTTTATAATTACTGACAATTATTATCAGTTGCATGATTCTGAAATGTTTCTAAAAATATTATAAAAGATACCACTATAATAATTTCGTATGCTAGAGCCGTGTATGTACAAGATTCAGGAAGCAAAAAACAGTAAGGAATTTAGTATCGCATTTTGGCCATAGTGAATTTTTTAAATATGAAAATGTTTGTGCATTTAAATTGAATTTTAGACAGTTGAAGAATAATATAGCCTTTCAAACGGGTTCTTGTGATTATCAATATATATTTATGCATGTTTTGTATGCTATTTTTCTGTTTGACAGTCCGTATGTCACATCCGTACCGCCCAAAGGTTCAGAAATTATTGTACTTTTTTAAAGAAGTTTGTATATAAATACTGGTGCATGGTCTAGCTCATTTACATTGTCGTAGCTTGAAGATAAGACACAGAACAGCTATATTCCAAGCATATCCAAGATTTATTTTCATAATAGAATTTAGTATATTGACGTTTGGTCAATACAAAATATTGAAGAGCTAAGCCGTTTTATGTAAATTATATAGTTGCTCTGGTAAGATGTAGTGAAGTTGTTCATGCGAAAACAAAACAAATAGGGGTGGTTCCCGGGCTTGTTCAGTTACTGTTCAATCTGAAAGAAAGTATCTTTTTGATGCTACGGATTATGAACTTACGCTTCTAATTGAGAAATTAAGCTGACATCATAATTGACTATTGAAAATACCTATTTTAACCAATGCAAAACTTACAGCTATCATCTCGGGAATTGTCTGTAACAAACTTTCAAATCAGTTTGCATTGGAAATTATGTACCGAATGAATAATGATTTTATTCGAAAATTTTAATTGACCAACAAAAATCATCAATTTGGGGAATATCTTCCATCATAAATCAGTTCAATCCAAAAGACTTTCCGAATTTGGAGATCAGTGTGTTCCTATCATTTCTCATAACTATAACCATATTCATATCGCGAATAAACTTTTGAAATATAAACACGTCTTGAGAATTTCTCATTATTGACAAATTCAAAACTAAACCTCATAATTGCCCTTGTGCTAGTTTGTCACTTATATATAACCGGCTGGCTTTGTTATTACTTTTAACCTGAATATTGTCATTAACGCTTCTCTCCGAAATGTTTTTACTAGAGGCCTGAAAGATCATGAACCTGAATTAATCGTCATTTGAGAACACAACATTAAAATACTGATAGATTCAGTCAATGTTTATGCTAAGCAATAGTCTAAACGTAAAAATGAATATTTTCATACCAATTGAATGAGTTTATACTGTTAAGTCGTTGATAATATAATTAAAAAAAGAAGATTGGGCTTATGAACCCTCATTCTACATCTATCGAAAAAGACCGAATTGTGGCTAAGCACCTGTCTTCCTCTGTGACACAATGTTGTTTTCGAAGCAGATAAAATTCCAACCAACACCGCTTTATGTGTTATCAAATTACATAAACTGCTTGATAACGGAATTAGGTATTGACATTTCACTTGGATACTCAACATATAATCCAACGTCACTTACAAAAGAGAAACTCCTGAATATCATACGTATGTTTTATATTTCTATGTAATTTCAACCAAGCATGAAGAACTGGATCACGCTTTACTGTACTGGGTATTACAAATTACTGAAACATACGTGTCCTTACAACTTTATATTGCTGAGTCTGCCAATTTGAAAATAAATGTCGTCAGCAACAAAAGTCAAGCTATATCGTTACTATGAAACTACTTAACCTAGGTGCGGAGTGAATCAGATGTTGATACTAAAAAATTCAAAGATCCAAAAAAAGTACATACATTCTTAGTCTCTTTCCTTTTGCAATGATATAAAATTACTTGACCTCTATCTTTTGCACTAATATTCTCTATTCTATTGTTAAAAAACATATTGAATGAAATAGTCTCACTTAGTTTCAGTAAATGAATAGGCAACGTAGATACAAATATCCTGTTAAAGGAAGAGATACAGTATACTTTATAAAAAGAACAACTTTGATTTAGACAACATATTTCATTTAAATTAACATCTTTATTATGCTTCATTTTATTATTGACAACCTATTTGTTACGTTTGGAGGATTTGTTTGTCAACAAACAATCGACGTTCCTATGGGAAACAACTTTGATTATCTTCCAGTCGCCTTATTCACATGATGCAGACTTCATACAGGAGCTTCTCGGGGGAATGAACAGCAGCTAGCCTTATCTTTATCGTATCGCCTTTACGATGATGTTCTCTCACTAATTAATCAAAAGTTAAGTAATTATGATGAATGGATCCAACCTAACGAACTTTAGGAGACCACATACATGTATACAGTGAAGTCGGTCTCATATCTTGACTTAAATGTAGAAATAAGATGTACACGACTAGTTCCATATTACTTTTTTTTTGAACGGTGATGCTATTATGGCTCCTTCTTACGGTGTGTGTATTTTTAAACTCGTTTGCTTTGCTATCGTCAACATAATTATTTCAATTTTTGAACAAATTACAATTACAAGATATCTACAAAATGAATCATTCTGATCAGAAA